AAAATTAGCGTATTTTTCGCTCCATAAAACGCACCTCTCCATAAGACGGACTAAATTTTTAGAAGAAAACAGGGAAAAATTAATCTGTTTTCTTCTCCTAAAAATTTGATGAGCCTTATGGAGAGGTCTGTCTTATGGAACACACCCTAGCCCCCTCTGGCCCCGTGGGGGTGGGGGGAGCCTCCAAAGGGTCCTAGGGTGTGTTCCAGGACCCTTTGGAGGCTTACCCTGCCCCCCATGGGGCCAGGGGGGTGAAATCGCCACCTTCAGGGACTCTTCTGAAGCTTCTGAAGCCTCAAAGAGTCCCAGAAGGTGGCGATTTTGCTCCCTCCAGGCCCGTGGGGGTTGGGGGGAGCCTCCCAAGGGTCCTGGAAGGCAGACTCTGACCCATGGGAGGCTCCCCCACCTCCACCCCCATGGGCCAGAGGGAGTGAAATTGCCACCTTCAGGGACTCTTCTGAATGTGGGGGTGGGGGAAGCGTCGCAAGGGTCCTGGAAGGCTCACTAGGACCCTTGCGGTGCTCCTCCACGCCGCACGGGGCCAGCACGGGTGAAATCGCCAGCTTCCAGGACCTTTTGTGAGGCTTGAAAGGCTCAGAAAAGGTCCTGGAAGCTGGCAATTTCTCCCCCGCTGGCCATGTGGGGGGTGGGGGGAGCCCCACAAGGGTCCTGGAAGGCTCACTCGGACCCTTAGGAGGCTCCTCCCCATGGGACCAGTGGGGGCGAAATCGCCACCTTTGCTCCATAAGACGCACAGACTTCCCCCCCTTTTTTTTGGGGGGGGGGAAGTGCGTCTTATGGAGCAAAAAATACAGTAGATTTAGTTCATGAAGTGGACTGAAATTACTTCTCAGAAATTAACTGTGACACAATACCACAGATATAAATCAAGCTTTAATAGACAGATCACTAAAGATTATCCTTTTTTTAACAGATGGAAGCTTTTGCTTATTTCACACTTCTTACCGCATTTTAAAATTCCTGTGCCTAAGTTTAGTGAAGTTATTAAACAACAGATAATTAAGACACTGGAAATTATTTAACCCGTGGACAGCTTTGTTGTAAAACCATTTCACTGTTGGAGCTTTTTAATAGAAAATGTATTTCTTAAGGAATGATATATTCAAAGCCAGTTCCTTAGTCTTTATCATTTTACAGCAGAGGAAAAAACTATTAGTGAGGCCTGACCAATGCAAGGTTTTCTTAAAGATGCAGGTACAACCTTGTCTATGAAAGAGAACCGATACAACTGGATATAAGTCAATTCTGACTTATGAGGACCCTTTGTAGGGTTTTCTAGATACAGAGTACTCAGAGGTCGTTTACCATTCCCTTGGGGGCGCCCTGGGACTGTGTAGCTCACTCAAGAGTTTGCTCTTCTGGAATGCACAGTGGGGAGCTGAACTCCCAACCTCTCGCTCAGCAGTCAGATACCTAACTCACTCACCTATACAGGAAATGAATTATAGAGAGATTCAAATAGATAAAAATCCAAATAGAGATGTTCAGTAATCCTATTACTGTATCTAGAAAGGAAACTTTTAAAAATCCAAACTTTAGCTTACCCGTATTTTTCGCTCCATAAGACGCACCTTTCCATAAGACGCACCAATTTTTTAGGAGAAGAAAACAGGAAAATATAATCTGTTTTCTTCGCTCCATAAGACACACAGACTTTCCACCCCCCTGTTTTGTGGGGGAAAAGTGCGTCTTATGGTGAGAAAAATACGGTATTTAAAAAGGGTCAACGCATCCATTTTGTCACATCAGATTTGGCATTTTGCCAAATTCTCTCCGAACCCTCCTAAGTCTGTCTGTATATGAATCTCTCTTTTGTTCAGTACTGATAATGTACTAATTTATGGAAGGATTGTCCACAGAGAAGGTAGGTGGGGAGAATGAATTTTTAAAATGTGTTCCATTTCCATAGCTGGCTTAAAATGACTACACATCAATTCCTCTGCTGCCATCTTTCTCCTAGACAGAATACAACATGAATCTAATGACATTTAGATGAAGTGCAAAACACTCCCGTATTCTGACTTAAAACTGTCCTTTCTGAGCCATCTACTTCGCTCTTCTGGTTCTAACAACCAAGTTGCATTTCAACAGATACAGTATTCATATGAAATTTAACAGCCACTTTTACTAACCTTGTCATAGAATATGGGAGCAGTTTGCATATGTTTATATATACACATTTCTCTATGTAAGAATAATGGGAGAAAACCTGTCCACTGCAGTTGGCAAAGTGGGCAGAATCCAACAACATTATATATCAACAGAACATTTGCCACTGCCTTTAATAAAAGTGTAATTATCCCATTGTGTCTATTCATTTAGCAGCTGGATTTCAAGCTACACAATTAAGCCAAACCATTCACAGAAAGAAAGAAAGAAAACCAAGCAGATGTTGCTTTTCTGCAATAGCTTGCTCACATCAAGCACAAGTAGATCCCCAATCAGAACCACTCAAAATGCAATTACGGTGCTGTAAAGGTTTTTAAACATGCTTAAAATCACCAACCAATTGCTTCTAACTCACCTCACAGAAAATAAATTAATTCCAGAAGTTCATCAGTATAATATTCTCTCCGTTTGGAAAATAAAAGTTTCATTTGTGATAGTAAAGTAGCAATATACAGCTATATTTATTTGTTACCAGTATTTTTTTTTGCTTTGTTTTAAATAAACCCAGAATGAATCCTTCCTTCAATTAAAACTCCATGAGCCGTGACCTTTGCATTAACACCACCATAAGGGATCCCCTTAAGCAACTGCACACATCAAACAGACTACTTAAAAGCTAACATTTCACTCTAATTTAGACCACATGCATCACAGAAGTAAATTCACACCAACATGCTGTAGGTGTTATCAGGAAGGAAATGCTTTAGATCTTTGAAAAAAGAGAATATTCTTGTGTGGGGAAAAGGGTTTTCCTGTCTGAGAAACCGTCCGTGTTTTCGTTCCTTATTGTTTCATCCTTATCATTCCAAGGTTTAAAACATAAAGTTCAGATTGATTAAAACATATGCCTTAAAGTAAAAAAGAGCAATTTCAGAACTTGTAACACACTACAGATCACTGGAACCTCACATTAGGAGCTTCCTGTATTCACTGTCTGGCCATTTCAAGCAAAATTCTATTTATATAAAACAAGCTATATGTCAAGGGACAGCTGGTGTGTGCTGATGAGAGTGTTTAGATAGGATTTGGAATATTCTGATTTTACTCTTCTGTAAGCCATACACCTTACATACAACCAGTCATTCTCTCTCAGCCTGGCCTACTTCAGCACGTTGTTGTGGGAATAAAAGAGTGAGAAGAATGATTGTGCTGTAGCATCTGGAACTCACTGAAGAAAATATAGTGTTTAAATGCTACTAACAGATAAATGTCAACCTCAGAGCTCAATTTGACTATAGGTGTTCTAAATCACTGGTTCTTAACCTTGGCTTACTCAGGAGTTTTGGACTGCAACTCCCAGAAGCCTTCACCATCAACTGTGCTGGCTGGGGTTTCTGGGAGTTGCAGTTCAAAAACATCCAAGTAACAAGGGTTAAGAACCACTGTTCTAAATGACTATCATTAAAGTTACTAATCAAAAATTTAGACAAGATGGATACAGAAGTTCCTCAGCCAGCAGGTTTACTCCCTGAGGTAGTTACACTGAAAATATTTTGGCCCAAGGAAATTAGTTCTGTTGGTTCCCTCTTTTCCTCTGTAGTCCACTGTGCCACCTCCCATGCTATTCCAGAGGCTTCCACAATCTCCTGGAGCAAGTTTTTGAGGGGTTCAGGGGGTGGCAGAGAGAGGGATGAACTGGCAAATATCACTTCCTCTGCAGGACATATTTTTGAGAGACAGAAGGAGACTGCAGAAGGAAAGAGAAACTCACAAAGAGTGTTTGTTGCTTCCTCTGCTTCACCAGCAGGCATGTCCCACTGGATGGGAATATTTGTTTGTTTATTCGCGAAGGCTTTCACGGCCTGGATCTAATGGTTGTTGTGGGTTTTTCGGGCTCTTTGGCTGTGTTCTGAAGGTTGTTCTTTCTCATGTTTCGCCAGTCTCTGTGGCTGGCATCTTCAGAGGACAGCACTCTGTGCTCTGGTCTCTGAAGATGCCGGCCACAGAGACTGGTGAAACATGAGGAAGAACAACCTTCAGAACACGGCCAAAGAGCCCGGAAAACCCACAACAACCATTTGTTTGTTTGCATGTGGCAGAAGCTCTTCTATGTGCACAAGGCAGAATTTGTATCCTATCCAATGACACACTTGAACTGCATGTCAACCAAATTGTAACTTATCAAAAAGTTTCCTGCTATGCTTGACTTTTTTAATGTTGGTGACTTTACAGCATATATTCAAAATGGAGTGAATTGTGGCACTCAAAAATAAATGTTAACAGTCTGAAACTAATTTTTTTTAATTCCTTACTTAAGTATACATGTCTTCCCATTTTTAGACTCACAAAAGTGAGCGCTGACACACATTATGTTAACTGCAAACATTCACCACAATATTTCAACATTTTGGATATTCCAAGGGGATGCTGACATTAACCCAATTCTGGGCACCTCCCATAATATCTATAGATGGCCATGAAGTGCACTCAAAGAGAAAATTATTATCCTCAATAAAATCTGAAAAATATAATCTGCACTGAGATTCCATTACTGTTAATTGCTTAAGCAATCCATTAGTTTGTGAAAAGCAAAGTAGTCTTGCATAATGCATTGGCAGCCAAAGTAGTGACTGTGACCACATATATGTAATATAAATTTCTGGGACATATTTGCAAGTGATCATGTTTGAGGTTATAGGAAGATTCTTGCCATGCTCCTTGTTGCCTTTCTGAATAAAAAAAATGTCAAAAATATCAGGCAGCATCACTCAAGAGAAGCTTCAACTAACTCGTTGTTAAGGAAAAAAGTGGCACTTGGGCTCCTTAAACTGTGATCAATCACACGCAAAATGCAGGCATGTCAAAGATACCTCAGCATCTGAGGAGCTGAAGGAAGACAGGGTAATTTGTCTGGCTAGCTTCAGGGCTTCTATCCGCATTGCCGCAAACTCTAACTCCTCCTGTCAGTGGGATGGTTTATGACAGTGAGCAATGCACAGGGAAAAAGCATTAAAAATATGGTGCAAAAAACAACAACACATGTCCAGATTGGTGGAATGAATGCTACCTAAACCCATCATGACAATTACTTGGGGGACAAGACATACTTATTTGATGTACTGAGAGGCTAACTATTTACAGCATTTAACATCTAACCTTCATCAAGCCCTGTTAGATGTGGAGGAAAATTCTTATAAGCATTCAGACAAATTCAACCTCCATCCCCAGGGCTTGGATCTTATAAAATTGCTAATATTATATATTAATATTATATATGCTAATATAGTATTTCCTTCCTCTTACATTAGAATTCATCTATCAGGGGCGGGTGATGATATTTTGGGGCTTGCAGTTGATTAAAGAAGGAACAAACCTTCCCATTCATTGCCAGGCCCATTAAGAAAAACTGAGGTGTAGCTGCTACTCCATATTAAATGCTACGGGCAGTTGGAGAAGGAGTCCTAGGAGAAGAGCAGGAACAATAAGTAAACAAAAATAAGAACCCCTCCCCCTCAGTTTTGTGATTGAAAAAAGCAGCAACTAAAAGGATTATTACAATGGTCCAGAGAATCATTGGCTGCCTTCTTCCCTCTTTGGAAGATCTCTATAATTCCCACTGTCTTAAGAAAGCCCAAAATATGCTCAAAGATCCATCACACCCGGGCCATTTCCTTTTTCAATTGTTAACATCCGGTAGGCAGTATAGGATAATTAAAACAAAGACAAATAGGTTGAAAAACAGTTTCTGTCCCAGAACAGCAGCTATATTGAATTCCACTGTATAGTGCAATATCAATGCGTTGTGCAATGGAAAACTGAATGTGAAGATGTGGATGTAAATGAGAGGGATGTGTTTTATGTGCAATGTACTATGCTTTCATGTTATGGATGCTATGTTCTTATGTGTTTTATCATCATGTGCATTGGAAATGGCATTTATTTTCATTGTATGGAAGTACAATGGCAATAAAGTAAATTCAAATTCAAAGATGTAAAATGTAGTTTACCTAATGATGTATCCGGTACATGTATCCGGTACTACAGTGGAAACAGACATTGCATAGATTATGATGTAAACATGTGGATATCTATGTGCAGATCTGGTTCACATGCTGGCTTTTGAAACACTTTTGAATTTGAGTGTGAATATGAACACAAAACATGTGCTCAAAACCATGTGAATCTGCCCTAAGATGTTCAGGTTTATTAAGTTTAGATATCAGTTTCCTAAAACATTCGTGGCAGATGATGGAATGATGGAAAAAGCTTGTGTTGCATTACACAACACAATGTGTTGTCCAGGCAGGGACATCTGCCCTCTACTGGCGTTTACAAACACTGAAGTAAGGACACAGCAACAGACTCTTTCATTGCAAACCTGAAGTTTCTGAGCAAATATTGGGGGGTTCTTTTCTGCTAAGTCAGGCTCTAGATACTGTAGCTGATCACACATTGAGGGTGGATGAGATATCCTACTGAGAAGAGCATCAGCAGAGGCAAAGGGGTCCTCAGGTGTAGTCTGGAGGATACAGAAGAAGTAACAGAAACTGGCACAACTGTTCATGATACAAATCATGCATCTGCCCCGTTAATATATGCTCAGTACCTAAGGAAGCACCAACTACATCTGTTGCAAATGATGTTTTCTATCAGCCACATCACAAATCCCCAAGAATAACAGGAAGTCAAATACAACCATGAGCGGTTCTTGCAGATACTTCAAAATAAAACATTATCAAAGTATATTCAATAATTGTATTCCATTGCAACCATTTAAAATAACATGCTCTTTTCATTTAGAGAACCTTGACTTATCACCCAAGCTAGTAGCCTGATGCAGAGGCTTCTTAAAGAACAACTTACTATGTCAGTGTTGTTTGAAGTGCTACCTAAGGTCATGGGCTCCAGTTCTTTTGGCTTTGATTTGTCAGGCGACTGCGATGATGACTCTTGGCTAGCAGCCAGGGATCGTGAAGCTGGATGTTGTAGCTTCATTCCGGAGGACAACTGAGTTTCTGTTTCTTCCAAGCTTGAACTACAATAAGATATAAAGCACTAGGTTTTCAAGGAGGACATGTCTTTTTGATTATAATATGGACTGTCAAAGTATAGTTCTGCTACATGATAGCATACACTTTCAAAAAAGGCTCTCTAACTGGCATTTACAAACGGAGGAAATGCACATGTCCCCAAAAGCCCACACTGAAATATAGCCGTTAGGCTTTCAGGTGCCACAATGTTTTTCTTTTGCTTCAATCTGGTATTTTTAATTTTTTTTGCTTTAATGTGATAGACTAATGGTTACTTCTTCCAAAACTTAAAAAAATACATCAAATTGAAATCTCCAATATCTTGATGAAGGCCAAATTAAATTAAATGTGTGGGTCAGATGATTAACAGGGTTACTTCCCAAATCAAAATTACTGGTTATCAGAAGGAAGAATGTGAGCAAGGAAGCTAACTTATATCTAGTATCTGAAGCAGGCAGTGGCCAATTTTAACTGGTGACTACATGAAACACATCAAATCCAATGTAAGTCACTCCTCATGCAAATATTCTCTGTGTGGAGTGATTAGTGTGTTTTGTTGTGGGTGTATTGTTGTGATAAGGGGGAGAGATTATCTGTCACTGTGATTGATGGGTGTCATTAGCTGGTCTTTTGTGTGTAGTGATCCCCGGTCCTTGTGGCTGGGTAGAGGTCGTTGACATTTTGCACGCTGTATTTTTGAGAGCTGGGAGCCAAGTTTTGTTGAGTTTCAAACTTTCCTCTTTTTTGTTGAAGTTCTGCTGGTGCTTGTGGATTTCAATGGCTTCCCTGTGCAGTCTGATGTAATGGTTGCTGGTGTTGTCCAGTATTTCAATATTTTGAAATAGAATTTCATGTCCAGCCAACTGCAAGGTATCCGGTATACTCCTGCAGTGGTGACGGTGTCCCTTCTGTCCTTTGCTGACCGTAACATTTGTTGTATTTTTGTGGTGGGCTTGAATACTGTTTGTAGGTTGTGTTTTTTCAAAAGTTTCCCCATGTGGTCCGTGACCCCTTTGATGTATGGCAGAAATACTTTATTTGTGGGTGGCTGTTTTTCTTCTTCAGTTTGGTGTTGTTTTCTTGGTTTGATGGCTCTTGTGATTTCATTTTTGGAGTAGCCATTTGCCTGTAGGGCCCAATTCAGATGGTTGAGTTCATTGTTGAGAAACTGAGCTTCACAGTTCCAATTTGCACGGTCTGCCAGTGTTTTGATTATGCCTCTTTTTTGCTGTGGGTGGTGGTTGGAGTTTTTGTGTCCGGTCTGTGTGGGTGGGTTTTCTGTAGACCTTGTGTCCCAATTGGAGGTCAGTTTTGCGTATGACCATGACATCTAAGAACGGGAGTTGGCCCTCTATTTCTTTTTCCATGGTGTTTGGAAAAAGAAATAGAATGAATTTCCATTTCAGCTAATGTTTTTTCTCTTTAAAAAAAAGAAAAGAAAAACAGCAGAACACGGATGTCTAGTTACTTTAGTATTCTTGAGTGAGAAATCATGGAGTGCTGCTGACTACAATGACAAAACACACTCTAGTAACTGGTGCTTTACGATTTCTCTCGCAAGAATATTAGCCTTGAGAAAGAAGGAAACCAGCACACCACATCAGAGTACAACATCTGGTTCTTGAAGGCTCCATATTGCTCAGTGGCTATAAACTGTGAGTCCTTCCAGTGAATTATTTCTCCATTTTTACTTGTTTCCCTGCTATATGCAAATGGTATATTAGTGTTAATTAAACCTATCCATTAAACTTTATGATTAGAAAATTTATTGGATTGTGTGCATAGCCATTTCCACTTAAGGTAAGGCTACTCTGCAAAAGTTATTTTCTGGATGACAACATGGAAAATCCTCCAGCCAGTGTGGTGGCTATACCGGCTGGGGGAAGAACTGTAGTCCAAGACAGGAACCTTTCCAAACTCTGCCTGCTCAAGTGCAGCCACATGTAAGATGGGGGCAGCTGGAGAAGTTACAAAAGGCAACCATTTCTCATTTATTACTACACATTTTTTTTAAAATAATTATTCTTTTTTGAAATGCGGCAAAGTACCCAGAACAAGGAGTGGTAGAATCAGATATTCGGACTGGAGGAGACTTGACTGGACTTTCCTGCTGTGCATCGAACATAAGGTACAAAGACTGTTTTGTCTGAGCATCATCATCCTGCTGTGAAGAGAAAAGGGAGAAAAATACATATTACAATATATCTTCTACTGGAACAAAGTCTCTGCCATGCTACTGATGAAAAGCTTAAAACAAAATATTGTACTGGGAAATAAGTTGGGTTAAAGCTGTTACATAATAAATTTGATTCTATGCATCTAAAACAAACAATTTGACAGGGTCCACTACACTCTTACTAGAACTTGGAAAAGCGCCCCCGCCTGCAATTCCCTAAATCCCCCAGACAGCAATATCCAGATTGGGGTTCTGAGAGTTTTATCCCCAAAAGCATAGTTTTTCCAAGCTCTGAGCCATACTGCACATCAGATCTTATAGGACTGCCAGCTGTCAGAGCAACAGCCATTTCAGAAAATTAATAGGTGGCAAATAAGTAGGGAAACAAACATCAGGGTAAATGAGTTGTTCTTTTGGTAACGGACTGGAATTCTCCTTATCATGCTAGACAGACAAAAGTTTGGTGTTGGGGGTGATAAGTGGCTCAGCACAAAAATGCTTAGCTATATATATCTGATGCTTGCTTCCCTCCCAATCCTTGCCTCCTCCACCTCTGTGGCACCACAGGGACTGAACCGTGTAGAATTCTCCACAGGACATCACAGAGACCCGGCTCTAAAATCTCAAGGAACAGGAAGCTGTTGATATAGCAACCCCACACAAAAGGAAATCCACAAACTTACAGATATAGAGGAGCCTATTTTCTCCATGTATTCTATTTCGTATGAGTTCCCATATTCCAGCTCTGTAATACATATGAAAGTGTGCTTAGTGTGGGGGTGAAAGTATTCTTTCAGACAATACAAAGGCACTGGGGCCATCCGGTTGATGCTTTCTTAATTGAGCACCAAAACAAAAAACAAAAACTTGAAATTAGAAATAAGTTAAAAACCTGCTGAATACCAATCTTAGCATACATAGGTCAACCACAGCCCAATGATACAAACAAGTAATACATTTTACCGAATCCATTCCCTTTGTAGGTCTCTAAGTTAAATATCCTTCCTTTGTTCCTTGCTACCTTTTCCTAAAATGGCTGGGCAGTCAGTCACTCTCAGGCTTCTCCCCAGGGTCCCCTTCCTTCCTCTTCAACCATGAAAGGTACATTTATGTATGCCTAATCAATTTTTCAGTCCTATACGCCCAACAAAGAAAATTGCCTTTGTATACTGAAAAGCATCTAATCCCATCAATATCATGAAATGTGTACTTTTTGTCTAGGGCCTGCTATCATTTTCTCTTAAAACGACTGAAGAGAAAGATGATGAAGACTGTTTCATCAACAGACCCCAGTGCAGACTTCTGCATCCTTGACTACTATGTAAAGTAAAGGCATGGATAGAGAAAGCATTCCATTATTTTGCCAAGAAATATGTTTGTATGGGTGTACTATGTCAAATCTAACACATGGCAGGCCACACTCCCTCATAATCAAAATTAGGAAGAGGGAGGAAGGACATAAAGGTCCTTCTGATGCAATATAGTAGAGTAAGCCTATCTTAAGGTCTGCTCCTTACTGAGCAATGAGAGCTACTTGGTATGTCAACAGTGACTGGAACGGCTATCCATTTCTGCTCACTAATTCTTTACATTTTCCTATGACAAACACCTAGTTAAATGAAGATGAGATATTTAGGACTGACAGATGGGAAAATATATTTTACTTATATACCTGATTTCAGAAACAGTTTAGAGAAACATTCAACAACTTTAGGGATTTGGATTCTAAATAAAACAGAGCAAACCACCAAAACCAGGGGTAAGCAACATGTGGTCTCTGGCCATCCTGCCACCCCGAGGTTTCAACTGCAGCCCCCAGTGCCCTATGGCTCTCCAACACACCTGCTTCTCAAAAAACAAAACAAAACAAAAAAAAACAAAAAAAAAACCCTCCAAAATTGTTTTTGAGAAAAAATAAATAAATAAATAAAAAAAAAAAACCTCCAAAATTGTTTTTGAGAAAAAAAAAGTGGCTCAAAAAGTACCCCTATGTTACCTTGGGGGTGAGATAGTTTAAGGATACTCTTGGGGGAACATTGTGCAGCCAACAGAAAATAATACAAATCAAACTGCCCCAATCCTGGAGCATTTATTTGTTGGGGGAGGGGGGAGAAGCAGCCACAGCTGGGAAAAAAACAAAGGAAAAATAAAATCCACAGTATTCATCTATGATGTTTACAAGTATATTTCTGTGCAATCAGCGAGTGCGATGTCCACGCCTGGAAAGCAATCTAAATTGGGAGTGGGAGGAGAAAGTGTCTTGTTTCCTGGAGAACCAATTACACTGAAGGTACCACTATCAAATAGTGTTTTGTTGCATATTATTCTGTGAGTAATCTAAAAATAAAGAGCACCATAATAAAGTCGCAAAAATGGATTGATCTATCAAATTTCTTTTCGTTTGTCAAGATTCAGCTGTTAAAGTCATTTCATCCCATTTAAAAAAATCATTTGCCAATTTTAGATTTTAAAGTCAGCATTAAAAATCATATATTTTATAGCCATTTCCAGTAATATACACCATTTAATACACTTTTCCAATTCCACAATTAGGATGCAAACAATAAAATAGAACACAATTAATTGAATATTTATAATCGCAGCTCTTAATCCTCACTGAATACTTTTAGGAGTCTGCCTTTTAAAGGATCATGTAGATACAACAGATGTGAAATTAAATTGTGCCTAAGGTCCATGACAAACCTAGTTAGCTTAAAACAACCAGGATTTTTCATCCGACTCCAGTTACATTTATCAATAACAAATGGCAAAATATAGAACAGAAGCATCAGTTTTAAAAAAAAAGATAAATGTCCATACATTATTCTACTTGCTCAGATTTTTATAAAACACCATTCTTAAATAAGTCTTACTTATCAATTCCTTTTTCATCTTAATATCAGATTAGCTTATTATTAATACTATATTCCAAATTTCTTTATACCAATCCCTTAACTGAAATTTGTAGTTTGCTTTCCAATTCTTCACTATCATTAATAAGTTGTTAATAAATTTGTTATTGATTTTTTAATCATCCATCCCCCTTTTCAAAATCAAATACTGATAGGAATGTTATTTTAGAGTTTATTTCTACATTTACCTTCACTATTGCATTAATTTCTTTGAAAACCACTTTCCAAAATTTCATTGTATTTTCACATTCCCACCACATATGTAATAGGTACTTATACATACATATATACATACACATATATACAATAATATATTTACAATTCAATTTAACCTGTATTAAATACCATTTCCATACCAGCTTATAAAAAATTTCCTTTACTCTTACCAACATACAATTTAGTATTTCTTTTTCCCCATATATTTTCCCATTAATAAAAGAGAAAGGTTCTGTACCTTCACAAGATTCAGTGCAGTTTTGGAAGGGTAGTGGGCAAATTAGTAAATACCTCTCCAATGGTCTTGGTGGAAGAGGACACTCTTTTCAATTTAAGTGTTTTTTTTTTGTTTTTTTTAGTTTTTACTCCTTGCATTGTTGTATAGTGTATTTCTTTTATTTTGTGTTTTTCTTTGCTTTAAATAAAATTTTAAAAAAGTAAACAAACAAACAAACAAAAAATCCCAAACCCACAATTCTCTTGTTATCCAACCAGAAGTAAACACTCCTTGCACTGTATTACCATTAATACAATTTCTTGCTTCTCTGTTTGGGGCTGGTGAAAGTTTAACCCCAGTTGATTCCAAATACAAGCTGATAATTCCTGACCAGAATAACATAAATAGTTCGCCGCATTATGGAATTGTAATTTCTTTTAGAGTTTCTAGAAGGTTCAAGTGCTGAGAAGTAAGATAAGGAGAGTTCCAATGGATTAGCAAAGGCACACACTTAAGTATCATATATGTGCCTTGAATTGTTCTTTTGTTAATCTACTGAAATTCTCCTTATCTTTCTAGGCAGACAAAAGGTAGCTTTTAACAACAGGGAGGTGTTCAAAGAAGAACACAAATGATAGTCTCGGAAAGCAGTCTTTAATTACTCTGAAGTTCCCCACTGTAGCCTAAAGAGGAGTCCAGAGGGAAGGTATGATTATACTGTACTTAAATGATCTCATTGGAGGAAACATTAGTGGTTGTAATTAATAGGTAATCTGAGCCACATGCTACCTAGCAGACATAACACGCAGGCAGAATTAGCATCTACAGTCACTTTGAGTGTCCATCTGTGCCGAGTTCTGCTCATATGTTAAACCATCACACCTCTTGACTGAGCATCATTACAAAAGAGTGCTAAAGCTAATTGTTTTCCCCCTGATATTTTAAATGACTACTGGTGTCCCATAAGAAAGTCACCGTAACCTGATTTTATTTATCACATTTTCATTCTAGCTTTCTTTTAAGGAAAGTGAGAAATATTGGTGACTTGCTTAGCCCTACTGTTTTATTGTCACAATTAGAAATGGGAACTTCATATTTGTTTCCAGAGGGAGATGAAAACTAAGCTCTCCACCAAAGGTGGTCAGTCCAATTGGACGCCCCACCCCCTGAACCAGGCCTCCACTGACAGCCTGCAGCACAGCACACAGGGCCGTTGTCCTTCACACCATGCCAATCGCAGAAGTAGTGGCTTTCCCACCTCCCTGTGTTGCTGATCAATCAGCAGCTGAATGGGGAGGCTTGTCATCCTGTCCCCTCGGTGGATTGTTCAGCAGCACAGGGAGATGGGGAAACCCCAGCCAGGCTATTTCCCCAACTGGCACGGCATGAAGGATGATGGCCACGTGCCCCATGCCACAAGCAGTAAGTGGACGCCGGGTCTGGAAGAGAGGGTCTAATTGGACTGGCCACCTGTGGTGGTGAGCATCGTATTCGTGCTCCCCTCTCTAGTCACAGCAAGTGAAAATATAGCTGGCCACTTAACACAATCAGCAGGATCAGCATTAAGAGTCACAGCTAAAAACGCATGTTATCAATAGCTGCACAACTATGCTGTGTATGAAATGTAAAAAGCTTCTGGAAGAATACCAGTTCAAACTAACCTCCTTAAAGGCTTTGAGGGATTGAACCTGATTGGCTCTTTGCAGATAGGGTTTTACAAACAGGGTACCACTATGGAGGGGACGTGGTGGCGCTATGGGCTAAACCGCAGAAGCCTGTGCTGCAGGGTCAGAAGACCCGAAGTTGTAAGACCGAATCCACGCGACGGAGTGAGCTCCCATCTCTTTGTCCCAGCTCGCCAACCTAGCAGTTCGAAAGCATGTAAATACAAGTAGATAAATAGGTACCACCTCCATGGGAAGGTAAAACGGTGCTCCCTAGTTACGCTGGCCACATAACAACAGAATCTGTCTTCAGACAAGCTCTATGGCTTGAAAAAACGGGATGAGCACCACCCCCTAGAGTTGGACATGACTGTAATAAAAAATGTCAAGGGGAACCTTTACCTTTACCTTACCACTATGGAGAGAGATATTATGTTGCAAGTGGCTACAGGCACCAGAGAGACCTAGGTTCAAATTCATACTCAAAAGTAGCCTAATAGGTGGGAAGTAGAAAAGCACAGGTAAAGGTAGCACAAGTTCAATTCAAGGGACAGACTGGCTGTACAGAATCAGGACTAAGCACAAGCCTCTTCCACCAAAATAAGTTCCCTCCTGCTGGTCGCAGAACCTTTCTGTTGGCAAACTGCAAGAGATCTGCCACCAGAATGGTTTGTTGGCAGAACTGCTCATCAGCCTAAGACCATTTGAAAAAAGAATACAGAAAGAGCAAGACAGGGGAGTTATACCCCATTCAAGTTTCCTTCAGTCCAGGGACAAATTTACAGTACTGACACAGAATTAGGCTACAGTAAGTGCAGTTCAAAATAATTTCCAATCTCCGTAGGTTGGAAGGAATTTAGATTTATTACAGGTTCAGCTGGCTAAAATTTGCCACCCAGACTTGCATGATTTCCCTTATGCAAGTGTAAAATCAACAAGATTCTTGTCATGTTATCTATGCTGAAGCTAACTGCAGTTTAATGCTGATTTCGGTGTCCTTGTGGAGCAGCTCCACATATGCCTAGCTGAAAGCTGAATCAGGTGAGCAGCTTGTGCTCCTTGGGAGCCTGCCTAAGGAGGTACCCAACTGAGCCAGTGCAATCCCCCCGTATTTTAAATGAGCCCATCTCTGCTTCTGCCAGAGAGCATGTGACAGCTCCAAACTCAGAGTGTTACGCTTTGCCTGTTTCAAACAGGACGCTGGCCTTAATACAAAGGAAACAATGTATTAAGCTAAATACACAGGAAGAAAAACATAAAACAGGATCATTCAACTTCCAGGAATGGAGAACAGAAAACTTAAAAAGCGTATTTTGGTCCCTTATCACTTTTCACCTGTTTGTTTTTTCCCTCCTCACACAAATGTAAAGACTTACTTGGTCCCCATCTCCTAGCTTACCTTCTGTGGGAGAACTGAACTTGGTTTCATTTACAAAAGTTGACAGATCCGACGGCTGAGGGTAATCCTGCTTATCTGAATCTAGATCCACTGTCATACAAGTCCACTTCTGGCTGCCAGCTGAGGATGCCAGTTTTTCCTCATCTGTTGCATGAACCACAGTGCACACCACAGAAGAAGGTGTTTCCGCAGCAGGCAGCACTATGGAGTCCTAGGAGGAAAATAAAAGTTGAGTAACTGCTGTTCTGTAAAGAAAGAAAGAAACAATTGTCTCCTCTGTTGTGCCTGCCTTCCTTTTACTAGCTTCTTTCTTTTTAACTCCATGCAACGTACGTAGGCTCCACAGACAGGATCTGAGGTTTTCAGATGTCAAGAGAGATGAACGGAGGTTGGCCTACAGCAGGGGTTTCAGAAATGTTGCCTTAGTTAAAACTTAGTTGGGTTGACCTCAAATTTACCTGGCTCCACCCCTCTTACTTCCTCTGAAAGTGTTTTTCCATAGCAATGAAATAAACAAAATAAAGCATGACAACCAGTCTGTTTAAGATTATCCATTTTCTGCCTCACGAGACAGCCAAGTGAGGAAAGACGCCAGGCGGTCAAGTTCATCTGTGATTCCTTTCTGGATCTCTCTTGGCTAAAATAAAACATTTACCTCATCTCTGTGGGAAATATAGCCTGATGACTCCTTCTGAGCCAAATAATTTTTAATCCATTTAACTTTCCCCATCTTAAGCATAACCAAGGTTTCAAAGGCTTTTTAGTATCTTTCTCCCATTTTTTCAATATTCAAGTTTATTAAGATAATATCAGCTACCCTATTACACAATCCCTTTCATTTCTTTATTTTTCATGTTTGCTTTGAACACATCTGCTTGGAGAAATGTTCAAAAGTATAGATCACAGGTTTTGAACGCTCACTTTTCCCATTAAGGTACAATTTTTTTCTTTTTCCCCTTATCAAAAGATTGCTATCAAAATATCTGAGAAACAATGTTAGGTCAGAGATCCTATGTTCGTTATTTCTATTCAAGTGGGATCCCAAAGAGAATTCCTTGATGTTTATAATGTAGCTGTCAGGCAATTAATTCTTAATACTGTACTGGCAGAGGTGTGCAGATTTGTGCTTTTGGACTTAAACTCCTAGAATAAGCTAGACAGCCAACGTGCACCCCTCTATAGGATAGAGCCAACATTTTTCTTCAAAGGGGAAAACATTAAAACAAACAAACAAACAAAAAACTTATCAGAACTCTTTACCTGTGAAGGAGCATCAGAAAGAGGAGATCTTTTCGGTGACTTTTTCACCCTAAAAGTATCACTGGAAATTAAAAAGCAGACATAGTAAGTATGGCAGGCAACAGAAAACCAAGGGAATATAACAAGCAGCCAAAAAAAAAAGGTCATCATGGAAGGCTTTCCTGTTTCAGAAAGCTAAGTGTATGAACTCCATGGAACAGCATGCTAGAAACTTTGCTTTCCTGTCATGCACTTTGGGACTGAATCATTGCAAACAAACAAACAAACAAACAAACAAACAAACAAACAAAAAAGCAAACAAAATACACCAAGTATGATAATGGAATTAAATAGGGTCGTAACAGAGGGAACCATGATCAATCCAAATAATGAGAAACAGATTTGTTTATTTTGCTACAAGGAAGAAAGAAGGCCATTATAGCTCCAGAGAGAAGTTAATGTTAATCCATATATTTGATCCATGTAACTTTGCAATAAAAGGGAACAAAACCTTCAGAAACAGATGGCTCTCACTAATCAAATAAGTGAGGTGTTATGATTTGCTAGCAGAATAACCTGGTGCCTCACCCACCATTTGATCAAACAGCAAGAACACCCACTTGTATAAACCTTTGATCACAGACCACAAGGTATTTACTTTGGTGGCCTACCAACAAACATCTATACTTGCAAACCTACAGCTATTTTTTAGTTCTTTTGGACAATTTGATTTTCTTTCACTCAATTCTTTTTCTCTTTGTGATTTTCTTAATTCCCCCCCCACACACATACAAAACAACCTTGTGAGGTCACTTTTCTTTCTATACCACCAGACAAGGAAATACTAACTTTACCAAAATCATACAACTAAACTGTGGCAGAGTTAGGACAATCTCAAAGCTATATCTAAGGCAGGCCCTTTAACCCCTAATGCATTGAATTTAACAGATATTCACTTCCACATCCATTCTAACAGCTAGCAAAGAGTTCCTCATGGAAGGCAACTAACTGTATTAGAATTACTCTATGCATCCTGCTGAAATAATGCAGAAATCTAGCCCAAAACAATTTATTGTGCTGCATTTCCCATCTCTTCAGCAAGCCCTACACACATATTCACAAACTCCAAAAATATTCACACATATAAATAGGATAAACTCTGGGTTGCCAGTACAGCACCCACAGGTGCTACTGTGTCTACAGGAAAATGCAGAGGCACCCACCAGGCTGTTTTCCCTTTCTTCTGCAAGTGAATGGAACAATTTCCTTGGAGCAAAAGAGTCCTTGGAAAGAGGTGGGCTTCTTCCCACTCTAGACATTTTTAAGCAGGGCACATTCTCCTCCCCTGTCCACGTGAATTAATGGACAAATTGTTCCATTTGCTTGCCCATCCAGTGGGAGGGGAGAAAAACAGAGAGACTGAGAAGAGGCAGAATGAGAAAGAAAGCATACACACATAGGATGCATATGCACAGAAAGAGAAAGGGAAGCAGTAGAGAATGGTAAAGAAGAATGGCTTCCTAAATTTTGGTTATTGGCCACAACATCCCACAGTAGCCAATCTGTGATGCCCACAGTGCTTCTTCAAAATTCCAATCACAACCAAAAAAGGTTGAGGGGACCTAATTTAAGCAGAACGTACTATTCTGCATGATGACCATGCCCAAGATCTGAAAGCCAGATTTTGTGACAAAGAACTGTAACAGGAAAAGAATCAAAATTAGCCAAGACACATGGCTAGGCACCTAAACATAATGGCCAAGTCCCTAGTGGGTCCTTGAACTTATGGAAGAAACCCACCAGTGGATCTTAAAGGTGGTGACTTCTTCCACGTCCACACAGGCCACATGCATCTGCAGCAAGACACCATGATTTTTTTTTCTTTCACTCCATCTCTCTCTGGCACTCAAAATACTGCTCTAAAGGGTTTCCTAGGCCTCCAGAGCAAATGCATAGGGTATATAAGGGGAGATCCTCTATCTCCTGCGTTTTCTGATAGGCTCCTTCCAACAGTGCAAGGACTTAATGAGAGCTGGGTCATGCTCACTGCCAGAGTCCAAGAATTTCAAAATTATTTTGTTATGCTCCAGATAATACAGCAAATCAAACAGGCAACAAGAGGACCCAACAGCAAAAATACCTTAGCATATGCACACTAAACCTAGATCTTGCTCTGTTAGTGGTATAAAAACACAAACAATAGCCACTAGAAAGGCATTTCATCTTGAAAAGTATAGGTTTGTGTTTCCAAAGGCACCAAAAACAGTGCAGGAGACACAAAGGATGAGATTACCATGGTCATCAGATGGGGATAAAAATTGGTAACTGGTGGGCCGAGCAGCACAATGCAGGAGTGGATGGATATTTTTCCTGAAGCTTTCTTTACATAGGAGCTCATTAAGCAAATTCTAATTAGACAACAACAAATAAAATGTTCATATTGGCACTTGGAAAACTTGGAAAATAAAATGCAGACACATGTGGAAGAGAAATAACAAATTTGTTCAAGCTTGCTCCCAAACATGCAATTCCCCCTTAATATTTTGAATCCAGCATAAACCACTAATATAACAGCACTAATGTACAAAGCACAATACTGGAGAAAAACTCCCATTAAAACCAGGGGCTGGGGAGCGAGGAGAAAGGAAAACAAAGGGCAAAAATCATGGGGCATTTCCGTCCATAACAAGCATAGTTACAGTTAAAATTACTTACAACAGAGAACATACAGACATCACGTCTTCAACCATCCTAAGACAAATAAGACAAAAGAGAGAGAGACAGACAGAAGGAACTGACTGACACAAAGGAGAGACTTGTTAATTGCATTAGCAAAACATCACGATGTCTTGGTGCTACTTTAGGAAATCCATGTCTTCCTAAAACAATCGTGAGAACTGTCAGGCCACGTTTTAAGGCCACAGTGAAATCCACTGAATGAAAGCACACCATTGCAAGGTTAAACTACCATAGGGTCTTACTCTTGTTTGGATTTATTTGGGAGCAGGAGAATCACAGAGATACAGGGGGAAATTAAGCCACTTTTCTTCTATTTAATCTGCTTGCTCTCTTCCTCCATAAAAGCTACTTTTCAAGGCTGATACGTATCTCTGCCAGTTTAAACTCTGTCCATGGATTACCATTTCATGATAGCAGCCATCTGCTTTCTTGTCTTGGTTGGCTTAGATGAAGGGACAAGATGCATAAGCATGCCTAAGGAGATCACAAAGGGCCATGTCAAGAGGCAGAAGGGGCAAAGCATGGTATCTTGCTGCAGTTGACTCCAAGCCAAACTGCTTTACAGACCGTAACAAGTAACTCTCAATGAGGCACCTACATCTACCCCTGTCATCAAGAATGCTTTTTGGCTCTGCAGAGGTACAGGAGGGAAATGCAGCCTTTGCAGGAGTGTGGCCTCCTATAACTGCTTCTTATTTATTAACAGAAAGCTGCATACTACTGAAACTTGAGTGAAATTTAGCTTGGTTCGCACAGGCACATAAATGCAAAGATGTTTTTAGCCCTTCAATTTTAAAACGATTACCCCTAACAATACATATACCTGAAAACCTACTAAATCAGTCTGCTTCTTTCAGATCTGTTAGAATACCAAATTCCACCACAGTTAACCAACACAGAAAGATGCTCTAAATCCTCATTTCTTGAGATTTTAAAGTCTTGAAGACTGTACAGATTGTGGATTGTTGTTGTTTTAAAATAAATAACTGTCCAAAAGGAGACATGCCTTTATCCACTTTAGCACTTGCCAACATAAACACAGGATGGCTTTGAGTGGTGACACCTTTCATATCAAGACTTTGGTCTTTTGAAATGTTTTCTTGCCATCAAAAACTTGGTAAGAAAGAAATGTAAAACAATTGCTAGCTTACTAACTAGGTTAGCAATAGATGTATCACCACCACTGCCACAGCCATCATCAATGTCTGGTATAAAAGTCACCCCACATCGCAGCCATCGAGGTGACGTATAAGGGTACAACAATATCTGTCATACAAAAAATACCACTAAACCAATTAAACAACCATGCAGACAGCAGTTACTGCAAAAAGCAAAAACCAAAACCAAATCCTAATGATTAAGCTGACCCTATGATGAACTCAAAGAAGATAAAAATGGAAAGTAAGTCCCATAAAACAGTCTGAAGTCATATAAAATATAAAGATAAGTAAGATAAAAGCCATTCCAAAGGAAGGCTTAAAAAACTATTAGAAACCAAGCTTTAAGGAGCAGTAGTCTGGTTAGCACCTGAAAAGAAGCCAGCTTCAACACATCATCTTGATGTTCACGATGGAAGAAAGGTAAAAACATTAGTTTAAAAAGGAAACAAACAGAGAAAAGTGTTCTGCCTCCCAAGGAAAGCAAGCCTAGTGTTTTGAAAACATCTAAGCTAGCTTTGTACAGTTGCAAAACCAAACTGATACCAACCTTTCCACTTCAACAAAGGCAACAATAAATCACTGAAGAAAAGCACTAATTTTGGCAGCCAGAAGCTTTCCTACCCAAGGAGTTTCATGTTAGCTTTAAGGGGTTTTATTCTTTACAATTTCTGTTATTTGAGGTAATAGGAAAGACACGGTATTCAGGAGTTCAATGTACATTTGTGGGCTTACTGGTTTTCCTGCAGGTAAGACACTCTTTCATGATTCTAAAATATATCCATGCCTCTATCTGTGCTTCCATTCACTCATTCACCAATCCATCAGTCCATCCTTCCATCCATCAAATACACACAGACATATAATTGCTGATATATAAGGTACCTTAGTTCTAAATCTGGTGAACAGAGGAATGAAAATAATTGGGCACAAATTAATCTCCTTTTTTGTAAATATCTAAGGTTTTACTTATTTTGCAACAATGTTGTTCATAGGTAATAGATCTACATTTAAGATCATCTTAGTTTACTGTTCATGAACACATTCTTGCATAGCTTCTGTTGCCAGTAGAAATAGTTAAAGCAATCAGAAACTATAGGTAATAGATCTACATTTAAGATCATCGTAGTTTACTGTTCATGAACAGACACATTCTTGCATAGCTTCTGTTGCCACTAGAAATAGTTAAAGCAATCAGAAACCAACAAAGAATCAAAAGCTTGATGTTACATCCACAGTGAGGACTCCTGGATCGCCAGTCCACTCCCATAATAAGCAAGAATTAGAAATTATGGTTTGCAATTTGTTTTGAATATCCAATAAATCTGAAAGCAACATGCCTCAAGTTACAGCTTCAGTGTAACACCAAGGTTGAGATCCTTTTTAACATCTGGTTATTTTGGTTATACTTGGCAGGAAAAAAGAATCACACATTTGTGAGTGGGCACCATGTGTGAGCATGGTATTTCAGAACAATAAGGTAGGGATCTCTGGAATTCTGGCTGATCATTATGCGTGAATGCAGCCAGTGTCTATTTCAACACAAAACTTTAAGGGGTAAGGTTTGAGATGAGCACGAATGAAGTCTATGTCTCTACAGATAAATATTTGAGAACATTGTAAGCATTTATTTTCAGATTATCTAGGCATTAATATTTTTTCCCTTTAGAATAGCCAAGAATGGGTAAAGAGTGCTTTTGATTTAGTAACGGGGTACCCACTAAAGAAGAGTGAGCAAGCAAGCAAGAGCTTCTTGATCAATGTCAAACGTGCCACTTTCTAAAACGAGATTTCCCAAGAATATGAAAACACAGCAATAAGCAACATTAAGCTTTGCCTTCTGGAATGAATAGCCAACAAGGTTGTTTCACCATACCTGAAAAATGCAACATTAACATGGGACAGAAGAAACTCATAGGGAGCAGGAAGGAACCTGTGAAACTTACTTGCAAGGTTGTATCACATTTTCTTGCCAAAACATTATAAGACATAATACCTCACCACCTCATATTTCATTATCTAAGGGCGGAAACTCCCACCTGCAACTATCTTGTTGCAGCCTAAGTGAAACATTTAGGTGGTAACGCCTCTACACGGCTTACCCAACAGCACTCCTACTTGAGGCGTGAACTAGCAATAGAAAACTAAACTCACTTCAACAGCACCTGTGGCATCTTGATTATGTGATACATCCCATACAAGCAGCAAGCCAGTGAAATGAGCAGAGATACTCAGGACTGGAGAAAAGATTGGCTTTTTTGACTACGTGAACAGCTCCATTCATATAAAACTCTGCATACACTGTATTCACATGACTAAAGCTTTACAGATTAGCCTTTAATCCTGTGAACACCTCTTGTTATTTGGCTCAGCTCCTTCAACTAAATAGCTGGATCACATATTTGAAAAAAAGGGGGAGGGAATAAAAAGATATGAAGGACTTCGCTGAAAAAATAAAAAGGTATTCAGATTTTCTACTCCAAAGTGTTAGGCACCTTGTCCACATCAATGAGCACATCTGTTAGAGGCCCACTGACACTTCTATCTACAAGGACTGAAATTGCCACCTTCCTCTTGTCTTGCAAGCAGTTTGCCTTCCAGAACAATTCTGGTCATTACAACTGGTCAGAATTCCCCTCTGCTCCACATACTGGGGAAAAAAGTCAATTCTCCACTCCACCTCTCTGTCTGCAAATTTTCTAACATTTAAACCTGAAGAAGAGTTTTGGAGAGCTCAAAAGCTTGCCACATTTGTATGTTTTAGTGAAAAAAGTTCACTTAATCATATCTTTTGTTTTTACTCATTAAGGCTAGCCCCATCACTATGGCCTCAGACAGCAGACAGTAGGTGTTCTGAAAGAGCAAACGATGTTTAGTTATTTTTGATGACAGTATTCTTACTGCCTGAAAAAGAGAGAAAGAGGTATAGTACTTGTGAAATATTTTGCCTCAAGTGCTAAAAAATACTTGACTGGCTTAAGAGGACTACAGATCTTGATTGGAGAAAGTGGTACCATGTGCTGCTCTGCCTCAGGCAGCAGAATGCCTTGTGCTGACCCTGCCACTCCACAGCCTTTTTTCTATTTAAAAATGGTAAGATTGTTTTTTTAAAATATGTGTGAGAACACACACATGATACTTCAAACAGCCTAAAGCTTACTGGGGAAGGATATCGTGAAATAACCTTGTATTCATATTCATAACACAGTGTAATTAATACCACACTGCCTAAATATAAATATATGAACCTGTGCACACATTTTTTTTCTTTGATGGCCAGGGGGGAACTCTTTACTGCATATACATTTTTCTGTATTCTGACTTACGTCTTGAGTGGCGTTTTCTTCTTTTTTGCAGGTTTATTGAGGCCATCTCCTTCAGTCCCATTGATTTCACTGGCATTAGCTGGTATTTCAAAGGAGGCGGGAGATTTTGTGGGAGAGCTGGCTACCTTTGACGAAGTCTTGAAAGGGTCAATGGAGTCCTCACACATGTCTGGATCAAAGGTGTACGTTGCTGTCATCTGCTGAGGCAGTTTAGGCGACTCTTGCATTTTGCAAGTGGAAGAAAAGGGATTGAAGTTTGGGTCTTCCCATTTGTCAATATCAAAAGTGTAACTGCCCTTGGGAAGAGGGATTTCATTTGGATCGGCAGGGGCCTTAGTCGGCGTTGTGGGAGCATTGTCGAGCTTCTCCTCAGTCTTTTTTGACTTTGGCTTCCTGAGCGGCATTTTGGCACCAGGCTTTTTGCCCACTTTTTTGGGCAAAGGGGGGCTTCCTTGATGCTCCTCCCCACTGCCTTTCTCCTCGGAATAATCAAATTCCAGCCTCACTGCTAAGCCTTTCACTGGAGGATCTTCTTGTCCTCCAGTGTCCGAAGGTGTTACCTCCACGGCTTCCGGTGCCGTTTTTAGAGGGGAGGCTTTCTTGTTGGCAGGGGGAGAGTTCTGTACTTTGTTGTCTCCAGCACCAAATGTGCTAATTTCCTCAGTGTTACTTGGGTCTAAGGTATAGGTTGTTTCTGGAGCACTAGGAGCCTCCTCCTTTTCCTCCGTTCCAGCAGCACTGTGGGCAGGCTGAGTGCACTCAGCTCCACTGAGCTCCAAGCTCTCCTCAGACGCTTTTTCTTCACTTGGGACAACTGAATCTTGCTGGGCCTCAGATGGTTCTGGCTCTTTCACTGGTGGAACATCAAGAGACTTTTTCCCCAACTGTTTTTTCTTTAAGGAAGCGGGCCTAGGTTTCTTTGTACGCTTAAGAGTACTGGAAGCACTGCTTGAACCAGTACTGAATGTGTCTGTTGCTGAACCGGCTGTCTCGTTATTTCCGAGAAAAGATGCTCCATCAAAATCACCGGCTTGAAGACTAAGCGACCGAGACAAAGTAGATCTGGAGACTGGAACAGAATCTGTAGATTTCCTTCGAACATGTGACTTGGAGTCACGGCTTCTGATGTCTAGACAGCTAGGATCTGCTGCTTGCAAAGAATCAACAACCTCAATGTTATCAAAGTCTAAGTTGTAAGTCCCACTGCTTGCAATAGGCTTGTCTTCATCAAAAACAGTAGAAAACGAATGGGGAGGAGGATGGAATGGGCTTTCTTCAGTTGACTCGTTGAGTGAAACATCAGTTACTGATACTGTATCAGAACAAATTCCTATCAAACAAAATAGAAAGTGATTAGTCATAATTACTAATGAAACATGAACATTTAAAAAAACAGATTACACACAATGATTTACGACCAATTCCTTCATTAACTTACAGGTTTTTTTCCCCCTATGTGCATCTCTCTTTTTCAGAATGCACATGCACACACATGTATACAGTATTCTGGTGTTTTACGTATCAAGACATAATAAAAATCATCTGGTCCGTAGCAGGTCTGAAAATTAGGTAAATATAACCTCAGATGAACAACAACACATTATATATTATACCGTGCCATGATTTATTTTACAAAAATAAAGCCAAAATGGAGACACTATGTGTGAAAAACTAAGTATGCTCTTACCACTTCCACAGGAATTAAGAGGCTAAGTAGCAGCCAGGTGCTGTTCACCAAATGCCCTTGAGTAAGATCATCCGCAAGTCTGACCACCTCTACAAAGCCAATGTATTAGCACTTTGCTGATCTGGAGCATTCAGGTGTGTGTTAACATGATGTCAAGGAGGAAAGACATCAGCAAGGATCGTAAGAAGCAATTGTTGCTGCCCATCAGTCTTGAAAGGTATAAGGCCATTTCCAAACAATTTAAATCCATCATTCTACAGTGAGGGAGATTATTCAGAAGTGGAAAGCATTCAAGAGAGTGGCCAATCTTACAAGAAGTGGATGGCCAAGCAAATTCATGTCAAGGCCAGGCTGTGAAATGTTCCGAGAAATTGCAAAAACCCCAAGAATTTAATATCAGACTCTACAGGCCTCAGTGAGCATGTTAAATGTTAGAGTTCATCACAGTACAATTAGAAAAAGACTGAACATGTATGGTTTGTTTGGAAGGGCTGACAGAAAAAAGCCTCTTTTCTCTAAACAGAACATGGCAGCATGGCTTAGGTTTGCAAAGTTGCATCTGGACAAACCATAAGATTTCTGGAACTATGTCCTTTGGACAGACAAGACGAAAGCGGAGATGCTTGGTCATAATGCACAGTGCCACGTTTGGTGAAAACCAAACAGCATATCAGTACAAACACCTCATACCAACTGCCAAGCACAGTAGTGGAGAGATGATGATTTGGGTTTGTTCTGCAGCCCCAGGATTTGGGCACCTTGCAGTCATTGACTTGACCATGAACTCCTCTGTATACCAAAGTATTCTACAGTCTAATGTGAGGCCATCTGTCTAACACCTACAGCTTGGCCAAAATTGGGTCATGCAACAGGATAATGATCCCACTACAAACAGAATGGCTGAAAAAGAAAAGAATCAAGGCATTGCAATGGCCCAGTCAAAGTCCAGACCTCAATCCGACTGAAATGCTGTGGCGGGACATTACAAGAGTAGTGCATAAACAAATAACCGCAAACCTCAGTGAATTGAAGCAATGTTGTAAAAAAGAGTGGGTAAAAATTCCTCAACAATGATGTGAGAAACTGTAAAGCCATACAGAAAATGATTACTTCACATAATTGCTGCTGAAAGTGGTTCTACAAGCTATTGAATCATAAGGTGTACTTGGTTTTTCACACATGGCTTCTCCATTTTGGCTTATTTTTGTAAAATATTCATGGTTCAATATGTCATGTGTCTTTGCTCATCTGAGGTTGTATTTCAGACCTGCTAAGGACCAGATGATTTTTATTATGTCTTGATGTGTAAAACCATGGAATTGAAAGAGGGTGTACATTCTTTTTCAGATGAATATATATGGAAATCAAGATAATCTGGAACTGAGAGTTAAAACAAGAAGAAAGGAAGAAGCCAAGAGGGAAATGACTTGTAAGAAGGTCAGGATCAAGTTTGTCCCAACTTAATTTCAGTTTTAAAATCTATTCTTATATTTTACAAATGTAAATGTAGTTGCTGAGATGGTAAAAGTCATTAGACAACTGTTCAGTTACTACCATAAACAAAAGTTAAGTTTTAAGGGTAGGACAAACACAATTGTTTAGATGTAGATGGTTTGTATCTCCCATGATATCTCACTGTTGGCTCTGCTGGCCCAGGCTGAGGGAGCTGCAGTTCAAGAACATCTACTGCCCTGCATTTTGTTCACCCGGGCTTAGCCAATCTGTTCAGTCCTGACACCTATACAAGAAATGTGCCAGTTGCACACAAAGTTATGAAGCACATACAAATCAAATTTGCTCCCTCTTGAACTTTTTCAACGGAAAATTACACCATTAAATTGGGTAAATCAGGTAGGATAAAGCTTCTTCTGAGCTTGGATGAAGCCTTATGAATATGTCATTATTTCATACAGAATACATTATCTTCTTTTTTTGCTGAAACCTAACATTCTGTTCCTTTTTGAGGGGAGGTGATGTCAGAGAGAAAAATATCACAATGATGTTCTCAGGAAACGATAAAGAATTACTCAAAACTATCTTATAAAAACATTATTCAGAACCTAGCAGACTACTGTGATTCTATTTTGCAAAACATAAAAATCTATTCAATTAACTGGCTTTGTTTGTGCTCTGAACAGTTCTGATCTACCTGTGGAAATGAACAAACCTACTATGAGGAAGTATATATGATTAGGAACAGGCAGCCCCAGAATGATGGACAGACATTTTGATGCAAAGGAATTCCAAAGACTGAACTCCAAAGTCGAATTAATTTAATGGGAACGATTTAAATTGACCCTGTCCTTAAAGCAACTTTGAGCAGTAGTTTAGCCTAAGACTAACTTTCAAAGAAGGTTAGTTAATGAGATGGTGACAAATCTACATCTACCTAATGGGTTTCATACTATGGTTTTCTGAGATCAATGACAATTACAGTACACTGATTAATTTGGACTGTCATCATTACCTCTTATCCACCCATACAGTGTACTTTGCCACTTTTGGGCAGAAATAATTAACATTTTCATCCTACTATAAAACAAAACAAATTTTAAAAAGGCATATATGATGACGATCCAGCTGAAAATAATTTACATCACTATTACTAGCTGTCAACACTGATCTTTCCAGTAGATGTGCTGCCTAAACCCTTTTTTCCCTAACAATTATTTTACTCTGCATGAGGTCCATTAAAATCCCATGAAAGGGCATAACCAAAAGCATATTCACAGCACATTTCAGTACTCCAATAGGCAATTATGGTTATTTCACTATACAGTATGTGCAGATTAAATTTCTGGCATAATTTTTTTTAATGGGAAATATCACAGAATAAACATTTTGAAGAGCTAATCACAGATTTTCAATGCCACTGAAAGAGAGGAAAGAATTCATTGTATTTCATATAGCTAACGGATTGTTAAAATTATTTGTAGCTAGTTTAACCACCCAGTTTTGCACATGTGTTTAACAGGCTAAATGCTGCTTTTCTTAAAGTGAGCTATTCCACGAACTATCACACAAATAAATGAAAATCTAAAACACATGTTACCCAGTGAAAACAGCTACAAATATATATATTTTGGAAGCGTACTTTCTTTCTATGTAGGATAAGGAGAGCAGCGCACATACCAAAAACCTTTGGCCTTTAAGCATCTTAAACCAGGGATGGGGAACATTTTAGAGCATAACTCCCCAAATTACTTAACATTCCTCAGACTGGCTGGGGTCTTTGGGAATCTCAGCTGATGATACTTGGAGAGCTAAAGATTTCCCATCCCTGCTTTAAGCAACAAGTAAAATAAATAAAGTCCAGACAAAATGACAATGGATGGAACCCAAAGAATTTTGGACTTGTGGGATGTTACAGGCATGCAGGACCATGGAAGTTCAGGGAACATGTTACGGCTGGAATTAGGGATGCACATGCTAGGACTTCCACCAGCTACATTTCAGTATCTTATCACCTGATCCATCAGAAGTGTCCGCAACCACAAGTCATGCCAATTGGGTCCTTGTGCCAAAGTCATAATCAAAACTGCAGTAAGGACCTCAGGGGCCAATCCCTGTCCAACACTGGCCATGAGACTCCAGTTTGTATGTGACAGGGAATTTTTCCCAAAGTAATCAATACCTTCAGAGGAAGGTCTGTTCCTTGATGTTCCTCAAGACAGCAGTGGAGTCGGTAACAGTTAAGTTTTCCCCTTTTTGTGCATATGTTAACTGCAAAGATGCACTAATTTGAATTCAGCCCTACTAAAATATTTCTGTCTTTGGAATCAAACCAGATGCCTCTGTGATCCAGACTGCATTATCTGCCTGTGGCCCTTTCAATGCTGCCTCCAAAACCTGGAATTTATATCTCCCCTAAGAAAATTTTCTATTTTTTCCACCACTATTTTAAATTTCATATGGTTTCTCAAGCTGAAAAGTATTATTCCTAGACCTCAACAGACAGACAGACAGACACACACACACACACACACACGCAAAACACAAACACACACACACACACAGAGAGAGAGAGAGAATCTGGAAGCATACCAGTTCAGGATGTCACCTGATTGAACTCTTACACCTATCATTCTGTCAAATGTAGAAATTAAACCTTATTTTAATGCAACATCACCTAAGACTGTATTACCTGCTCCTGATGCCCTAAAAAACAACAACAACAACAAAAACACAGGACCTTTTAGGCACACTGTCCCATCATTCAGAGCTCTGTGCAGCCAAGGAGGTGTCTTTCCTTGGTTGCACAGAAAAGTTAGTTGCAACCAGAAACCATGAGGCTGGGTGCAAGCTCCAGTTTGAGTCAATGGCTGAAATCCTACTGCTTAGCATAAGTTAAAGAAGGCTAACACAACCAATGGGACTTACAGAGCAGTTGTCTCACCAAATTCTCAGTGATTTAATAGGTCTTCTCTAGTTGTGTCTTACTCAGGACTTTAGCCAATGCAAGCTCGAATACAGGACTCAACTCATACAAACTGGGACATTACCCAAGAGACACACTACATAGGTTAAAGCCAAATGTTCACAATATGCTATTTTGGTCTATCTCTAGACACACTACAGCAAGGAATTCACTCTGCAGTTTATCCTGATTGTATGTTTATCTCACAGAAATGTGAACATACTTG